CGATGACGATGACGATGACGATGACGATGACGATGATGATGATGATGATGATGATGATCATGACGATGATGACGACGACGACGGCGATGATGATGATGACCATGCTTACTATCTTCTTCTTTCTTCCTGTCTCTTATACACATCTAGATGTGTATAAGAGACAGCCATTTTACATTGATAGTAATGTGGTACATTTTATTACTTTCATCATCTGTTACACTCCTTGTACATTTATCTTCATCCATACGTTTAGCATTTTTTTTAATTTTTTTTTAATATCAGACGAAGGACCTGTAGCACAGGTGGGCATAAGAGCCCATGCTTGTAGCAGGGATCCAGGGAGCAGCGCATGCTGGGAACCAGGCCCAGCGTCCCAGCGCCCCACAAAAACAACATCCACATACCTCTGCTGCAACAGGTGCCTGAGAAAACCTCCTCCCATAACTGACTGCAGACGCAAAATGAGGAAAACGTGGGTTATGTTCTTATTAGATTTTTAGGCAATATCCATGCCAGGGAGGAGGTTGATTTTAAGAATGCAGTATAGGTTCTCGGTTATATTCCCACTTTTCCCGACAGCACGAAAGATAGCGGTACGACTTTTCCGACGTCTTAAATGACCACTACCTTTCATGCTGTCGGGAAAAGTGGGAATATTACCTTTGGTCCTGAGGTCCTCTACCGCTTTCTTTGGGGCCGGGCCCATCAGGGGTTGCCATTGACAAATTTTATCGGCGATTCGGCGGCCTGTGTTGCATTTCCGGCCGCAGAAACTCGTGGGGCCACACCCGCAGCCGATGTATGGGAAAGGACCGAAAGGTAGCGGTGGTTTGAAAAAAAAGAGCAAAAAAAAGAAAGAAGGAAAACTATTGTGGAGGAGCAATGCAACATGCAGACACTGCCGTATTCTGGAGTGAGCCCCATGAGCGCATCTAGACCGAAGAAGCTGACACGTTTGGTAAAGATAAAATTCAGAAAAGCACCTGCAATCCATAAAAAAAAAAAAAAAAAAAAAAAAAAAAATCTGGAAAGCCTCCGAGGATCATGCAGCGCTGGTAATATGTTGGGGTGTTGAACATGCATGATCCTGGCCTAAAACACTGACCAGGTTCATATGTCCACTGCAGGAGCACAGGAGCACCGCTGCCGGGCTCTCGTTGTCAGGCCATGGGACTGTGCCACACAAGTGCATCTTCACACACAAGCTGGCAAAGTGCATCCTTTATGATTCCCAGTAGCCAATGTATTTTCCCACCTTCTCAATGAAGATGCATGCACCCATTTTTTCACCTTTCACAATTTGTGTGGCAAGGCCCACTCTCACACACACAACCATGTTCACCCTAATGGAAACACCCGGCCATTATCGCTGTATCCGCTGTATCTAGACTGGAAGTTGCACTGAATACAGCTATAATGACGGGTAGGTTCTCTTCAGGTGCATGCAGTAGGATGATGTGTCCAATCGCTTGGTCCATAACTGCAGACAAATACATGTCCCTGCATCTTTTTGCGAGTACAGCCAAATTCATTCCGAAAGGCAGGAGTGTGCCACATCATTTGATATTTTTTCCCCCTAAAGGAAAGAAAGAAAGGACAAGTGCAACCCAAGAGCCTAGATCAGTGGGTACACCATTGAACTGTTGAAATACAGACCAGGTGCTGTGTACGAACCTAGATGATGGAACTTGCAGCATGACATAAGCGCCAGTGTAAGAAAAAAAAAAAAAAAAAAAAAAAAAAAAAAAAAAGAGTGCCAGTGTGACACATTATTCCATCTCTCCCCCAAAAAGGAAAGAAGGGACAACAACAACTGCAGCATACACAAACTTCCAGAAAGGAAAGAAGGAACAGCGATCGACAACTGCAGCATTCACAAACTTGGAAAAGTAACTCGAGCAACAGAGCACAGACATTGTACATAGCAGAGTTTAATTTAAAAAAAAAAAAAAAAAAAAATCAGCTTGAGATTTGAAGCTTGTAAAGTTGGTTAAGGTCTCACCTATACACCAATGAAAAAGCTGCGTGAAGTAGTGATGGTGCTGGCAAGACGCCAAGTCCCACTCGATCTGGGTTCGCACTAAGATGCATTGATTGCGTAGTCAATGCAGTCAAATCTATTACGCTGCAAGCCTCATAATGAGTAGACCAGGTGCAGTGAGCAGTGAGTGGACCAGGTGCACCGAATAGTGGCTGCTTCTCTCACACAGGTCTATGGAGGTGATTTTCCTAAAGCCAAAAGTTCATCCAAATCTGACTGCCAAGACCTCATCTAATGGCCATTATCACCACCTGCATGATGATGGCGATGACGATGACGATGACGATGATGATGATGATGACAACGACACATGCTGTTGTCACATGATGATGATGACGACGATGATGATGACGACGATGATGATGATGACGATGATGATGATGACGATGATGATGATGATGATGATGAGCCTGATGGTGAGCATTTCACACCATAACGAGAAATCCATCTCCCTCCTCTCTTCAACCCCCACCTCCATTGCATCTCCCCTAAGAAAACCCTACACGCAGACTGGACAAAAATCTTGTTCAATTCTTCAGAGGTTGTCGGCGACACGATAAGCCACCACTCCTCTACCATTGCAAAACCTCTTCTTTCGTTCCTCAGAGCTTGTTGACGACATCATGAGCCCCTCGTCGCGACCATTGCAAAACGGACGGGTAGCGTCCACCCGACGACACGATAAGCGCCCCTCATCGACCATTGTAAACCAGGTAGCGTCCACCACCAAAAAACACGCACTCGCTGTTCTCCGGAAAAAGCACAGTCGTTGTGTGAGCCAGGTTGAAAGTCAGTCAGGTTAAATAATTCAGGCAGATACAGAACCAGCTGTGCCAGGGAGACGGAAGAGTTCTGACAGTAACAGCAGCAAGGGGGTGGTTGCTGACACTGACGGTGACCTTACCGCGGCCAAGGAATGGGGGTGTGACTGTGACTGTGACTGTACCTCCCTATTCGGAGCTGGTCTCTGCAGAGCGTAGAAATTATAACTGTGTCATGGCGGTGTGACTGTGACTGTGACTGTACCTCCAACAGGATCTGCAGAAGGTAAGCCGCGACGCTAACCCTGGTTATGACTGCGACAGCGACTGTCCTTTGCTTCGTTATGATAAACAGCACAAGCATGGAGCTGACGGGTTTTCCATGCCATGGCCACGGCTGCCAAGCACGAATGACAGCACAGGCAGCTGCAGGATCGAAACGACATGCCATACTTAGCTCGATCTCAGCTCTCTGGCTTTGGCTGGGACTGTACAAGCGGCGGAAAGCGGCAGTAATCAGAATGTGATATTGAAACTGTGACTCGATTCCAACTGTGACTGTGACTCGATCACAACACGTGGCAGATTATGACTTCCTCTCTCGATTATGACACATGGCAGATTCTGACTGGTTAATTGGTTAATCACTCGATTATGACACGTGGCACGTTATTACAGGATCATGACATGTGGCCGATTATCACCAGATTATGTATGACACGTGGCAGATTATCACCAGATTACGACATGTGGCAGGTTATTACCGAATTATGACACGTAGCAGATCATCACCAGATTGTGACACGTGGCAATCATGACACGTGGCAGATTATGATGACATGTGGCAGATTATGACACTTGGCAAAACAAGTGGCAGTCAGGATAAGCAAAAAGGGCTAACACATAAAGATGAGGGGGGTAGAGAGCCCTATTTGAGCTGCAGCAGCTGCAGGAGTCAAAAAGACTCCAGCAGCAGCAGTGGTGCCAGTGAAAACAGCTGATGGAGTCAAGATCGCTTGAGTGAAAACAAGTTGATGTGTCAGAAATAAGAGGAGGCATGGATAGACCCGATGTGATCAGAGCTCATTTTTTTTTGTGGGCGATGGGGGTCAGGGTTGGCCAAACAGATGCTGTGCTGTGACTGTGATGCGGGACTTTTGCTCAAAATTACTCTCCATCAGCAGCCGTAGCCGCAGACGAGTCTGACTCTGGCAAAAAAAAAAAAAAAATTAGGAAGAAAGTAGTATAGGAGGTAAAGGCGGTGGTGGAATGATATAAGATTATGCAACAGAAGACAGTAACGGTTAAGAGAGGACTTGCCTCTCCCACTGCCAACACCTCCTCTCCCAAGATGCATCTCCGTATTCTACAGTTGTATTCGTATAATGAAGTTGCCAACATGAGCTGAGCGCCATGTCCTTGCTCTCTCGCCGAGAGGCACACCCCTACTCTCCCATTATGCGACCTTCTCCACTGGCGCCTCCGCCGGCTGGAGAGTGGTTATGAGATGACGGTCGCCATAGACATTATCCACACGACCTGCGCAGATACCCAAACACATCATCATCACACACACACACACACACACACACACACACACACACACACACACACACACCACACACACATGCATGGACGCACGTGTGCGAGTACACACAGACATACATTGTTAGGGGTCTTGCGGGAATGAAGGCCAATGGTGCAGTTATCTCACAACAATTTTGTTTCGGTGAGTAGGAGGATCCAAACTTCCAGAAAAAAAAATTATTTCTTTTGACGAGTTGGTAGCGTCCAAATTCTATTTTCGGTCTAATCTTTTTTTATCACTCTTATGACTTGTATCAAGGATAAACCTGATAAATAGATGAACAAAATTGGAAACAGTTGCTTTCTTGAGTGCTGCGGGTGGGAGAAGAGGGGGGGGGGGGGGGGGGGGGGGGGGGGGGGGGGGGGGGGGGGGGGGGGGGGGGGGGGGGGGGGGGGGATGGGGTGGGTGGGTGGGGGGGAGCATGGGGGCGAGGCGCACGGGTAGTGGGAATATAAATAACAGCAGGATAGACGGGGAGGGGAAAGAGAGAGAGGGCATAGCATGCACATTCACTACATCTGAACTGTTCGGAAGGGTGGAAGAGGGAGGGAGGGAGATGGAGTTGGGAGGGAGACAGGGGGCTATGTGGAGAGAGGATGTCAGATGACCATTGGTGATACATAAAGAAAGTCCGCATAGACTCAACGGGGATGGGGATGGAGTAGAACGGAGAGCGGGAGAGCAAAATGATGTTTAGTCTCACCAGTGCTAGGCCAGAACTTGGCATCCTTCACCCAATGCAGAGGGAATGCACCCAACTCCCTTGCGTATTTCTTGTCCCATGAATCGCTGATCACCATCTCTGCAGTGTGCGGGGCATTCTGCTCATAACGCAGCAACAAGAGACAGGAGGACCAGGCGGACAGACATGAATTAGGAGTACACACACACACACACACACACACACACACACACACACACACACTCACACACACTCTCTCTCTCTCTCTCACACACACACACACACACATGCATGGACGCACTTGTGACTGGCTTGGGAGTCGGTAAAGAGAAATACGACAAACACCCACCATTGCAGGAAACTTGGTGGAGTCTGCACACTCGCTAGTAGTAGTTATCGAAGGATACTCATTTTTAATGCTCTCTCCCCCTTCCTTATCGAATGATACTGGCTTTCGATGCTCTCTACCTCCCCCGGCCCCCCTCTGTCCCTCTCACTGCTTCTCCCAATACACCTCCCACTCTTCGTGTGCATGTGTCTGCGAGCATTTTTTTCGTCAGATTTCTAAAGCAGACATGTTTATTAGGCTCTTTTGGGGCGCACCCAAATTGTTTCGAAGCTCCAGAAATATCCACAGGCATGCACAGGGGTGAACAGAACAAACCATGTCCAGAATGGCATAATAACTTAATAAAGTTATTTAAACTTATTTTATGTCTTATTTATGTGCGACCGTTCGAGTCACAGTATGAACTGCTCATTTGTACAATCAATATGTCAAATAAGTGAGACGTTGTAGAATTCCACAACGAGACGGACACAGTGTCGACAAAGAGGTTGACGATGATGATGATGACAGTGATAATGATTATGATGATGATGAATGGAAGTGACAAAGATGGAAGGTGTCGATTGGCGAGGCTGATGATTTTTATAATTTTTATGATTTTTATGATGATGATGATGATGATGATGATGATGATGATGATTACGTTGAGGATGACAAACTTACGACTACGGTGTTTGTCTTTTGGCGATGATAACTTTGACGTTTGAACTCACCTTGAGCATATTGTTTGTCTTGTCATAAACCTTATCCTCGATGAACTTTATCTCCTGACGAATGGCGATCATCGCATCGCAGAACCTGTCCAGCTCAGCCTGCCAAAAGGAATAGATGATGCATGTGAACCAAATCATCAATGAATCAATCAATCAATGTAATGAATGAATATTTTTTAATTCATAATTATCATTCATGATTAACCACAACAACAACTTCAGAATTCTTTGTTGTTTCAGATTTCGATTTGTTTGTGAGGATGAACCTCACCGATTTCGGTGATTTGTCAAAAAAAAGTTTAAAAACTCGCCGATTTGTGAAAAGCAGCAGGCCACTCAGGATGCATGCTTCACAGTGTCTTTCCCAATTACATTTATGCACAAAAAAACAAAAAGGCATGAAGGCTCTCCTCTTTTTCAAAGTCAACAATTGTCTTAACCCCTCACTTCCCCCGAACCTCGTTTGTAAAATCTCGAGGTACCCCTGAGTCCCTGACCCTTTATTTTTAAAATTTGAAGTCATCTATGATCTTTCCACAAATGTTTTTTTTTTTTTTTTTTTGCGAGAATAGCCCTTGTGGTATGCCCCTACACTTGTTACTTATCTATGGAATGATTTTGAGCACTCCATATGTGAGAGCTGGACTAAGGGTCTCGCCACAAGGCACACGAAACGAAAACGAAACGAGTGCATCTGCCCAGGAAAGGTGGCAAAATACACTCGTTACTATTTATAGCAAACCGACGAACCTGGCCATTTTCTGCAGGAAGATAAACTCGTTTCGTTTTTCGTTTCGTGTCCCGTGCGGCGGCGCCCTAAGGCATTACCCGCTTCGCTTGCTGGGTGACAGCAAAGTGGGTCAGCCATATGCATTTGGTGTCTTCTGCCGGACGTGTTCTGGCAAGCAAGTCGAGGCGACATAGTTTGTCGTTTTCCACTTACTTTTTTTTAATTGAATTTTTTGATTTTTTTTCCCAAAAGTTTTCTCTAACACAGAGGGCACACTTACCCCATAGCCGTAATTTTTTCGAACTTTATTTTTTACGTCAAAGGAGACGAGAACTACAAATTGCGAACGTGCGAACTACAATTTTTTTACGTCAAAGGAGACGAGAACTACAAATTTTCGACTTTTTCGACTGAGCTCTGGACCTGATTGCTGTCAGATGCATCCAGCTCTGGACGCAATTGCAGTCAGATGCATTTATAAAAGTGCTCGTGTGCGGATGGATGCCTTCAGAGCTTCATGCCCTCTTCCTCAACCCCCGCTGTGGCCGACAGGGTGAACCTGCCTGCAGCCTTCGGCCCTGCATATACAGGCATGGCACAGGGTAGCTGTCATGGCCAGAAGATGGTTTTAACTTCTTGGTGCATTATACTGTCCCATGGACTGGCCAAGGGAAATATTTGTGTGTGAAAGGCCCCGCCCGGAAAATGGAAGGCTGGAACTGGGCGTGGAAAAGTACCATCGCCCAGCAGATGAATCATGGAAAAACACAAAGCGGATAACGGCGAAATGGACAGCAGGAGAAACTCATCGACAAGGTTCGCATGCAATTGTGCATTGGGAGTGATGGGAGGGGGGTAGGGTAGGTGCCAAAAAGTGATCATCTGATTGTGTGAAAGGAGGTCCCATGGGGAGGAGAAATGAGGGAAGGGATGAGTGAAGAGAAGCCGATTTTCCCACCCACCCACCCACACACCCAC